ATTATTAAGATAGTTCACAGTGGAAGAAAGCTTATATTCTATCTTCTGCAAGCTACAAATATGAATACCTGCCGTTATCCCAAGTCAGTTGTCAATGACTTGTTAGTTGCAGTGACCTGGTCAGAACCCTGGATGCCAACAGTGAGCTTTAAAAGGATTCACTACTATTCCTCCCCCCCTGCCCCAAGCTGTGATGATGATAGTTGTGGGTTTGAAGAATTTGTATGTAGCACATGAGAAGGTCAACTAAATTTATACCTATGTCCAAATGATCATAGGAAAATATTGGATGGAAGGCTTCTGTCCAGTTTAAATTTGTCCCCCTTCTAAGTTAGATATTTCATTATTAGGTAGCAGTTTTTATTTTCAGAGAGGGGAGTAATGTCTTTTTCTGGTGGTATTACTGCAGAGCCCTACATCCTTGAAACCATAAAACCTGTAAAAGTTGCATGGCAAGAAGATCCACGTTTCCAAGACAGCAGCTCTGAGGATGATGAAGAGCCAGAGGCATCCAAAAATGAAGAGGACAAAGAGGTGTAAGTTTAGTTGTATTTATTGTCTGCTACATGGCAGCAGTTTGAGACTGTGGAGGTTTTAATGGCAGCACTCCCATGGAAATACAAGGAAACTCATCACATGGAAAGATTCAATGATTATTCTACATCTCTGAATAATATAAGTCCTTTTATTAGGAAGCTAATCCTTGCTATGCAGAACATACTGGTCAAAAATCCTTCTACCACACCTGGTTTGAAGTTGAATATGGACATTGAGTTTCCAGCTGAATGCATGATAATGTAATTAGGTAGTTGTTTTGGCCAAAAGCCAAATATACTTTAGGCTTCCTTTTATTGTATTTATTATTAGAAGGCTACTTTTGGTTAATAGAGTAATGTTGTTCTTAAATGCATTCTGTTTCTCTGAAGCATTATAACTTTGTATGAATACAAATTGATGGTATATTTTTTCCTAGGTTTTTATCTTTACCACCAGCAGGAAGTGCCAGACTCTTCTTTTTCTCCAAAGATGATGAACGATTAAGAGGTATTACACTTTCTTTTTCTTCCTCTCTCTACTGAAATTTAATAAGGGTAACTAAATGCCAAGTTATGATGTTTTCTGCTTGAAGCATAGATGAGGTCTTAAAATAAAATTCCATTTCTATCATTACCTATAGTATGAATTGTAGCAGCATATCTCAACAGAATTTATGTACCTTCCTGGTATAATAAATATAAAGCTGTTTTCCCCTCTAGATCGTTCTTTAATAGGTAGCTTGTGGATTTTTTTTTTAGGCTTACAAAAATCATTTGGTGAGCTATTTCAGACATTTTGGATGCTTTCAGGCATATATATGATCTTCATTTTTTCTATACTTCTGGTCTTAAGAGGTTTGAATAGGTTCTCCAGAACCCATATGCCTGTATAGTTTTTGATCGTAAGTTATTGGGGTGGGATGATTCTGTAGATATGGTGTTTATAGTTTAAATATATATTTGCTTTTGATAAGGCTATCTTGTTAGTTATTTATCGTATAAATAATGCTTGTTTCCTGAGACAAGTTAAAAATTCAATGAGTGAGTCAATGTATATGTAAAAGCTACCGTGTAGCTAATACAGTTCCTGTACTGTAATCTTTCAGTCTAAATGTCTGATTTACAGAGCTCAATAAAGTCTAGAGCTCTGAATTCAGAGCAGGCACAAATTTTCTTGGGAGATCTGTAAAATCATGCTCCTGAGTTCTTAATGGACAGAGGCTGCTTCACTACAATTTATATTTCAGCATATTAAGAAAAACTGGCATTTCTTTCCTTTTTCCTTAGTATGCCAGCGTATAATCCTGTTTCTGATTGAGCCATATTGTAGGGGTGAAAGAGTGATATGTAGAAAAGGCATGCCTTTTGACTCCGCTGTTAGAGTTTTGTTCATGAGGTTTATACAGGACAGCATATTGCCAAACCATATTAAATTGTTTTTTGTTTTGTGCAGAGGGCCCTAAATTATTCTGTAGATCAGTAAACCTCAACGAAGAAAAAGAAACCTGGGAAGATAGACGTAGATTATTGCTTGAGGTGAGTATTTTATTTTTTGTTACTTGATAACTGCAGCTGGAGGGGAAAAAAAAAAAAAGGTCGGCATCAGGATGGGAACAGAACTTATTTAGTTTTCATTAAGAATGAATCAAGGAGCTATAGAAAGGCTTGAAGCTTTGTTACTACCAGGGATTTATCCAAATTCTTAATACAGTAGTGAATATAACATCATGTTATGATGTCCAGTCAGGTAAGTTATCAAGCCTTCATAGTGCACAGGAGCAATTACCATATGAAAGAAATGTATTTAAAAAGCAGACATAATTTATATATTTCTCATAATATTGTTTTGAAATTTAAATATTTTCAGGAATGCAAAAAAAGAAGAAACATAAGGATGCAAGAAGGAAAGTGAGAGCAAAACAATAAGTCTTCCTTATGTTCCTGTCAGGAATATTCTTTGTTTCTTCTTTCAAGAAAGTGTGGGGGAAAAAAAAAACCTCTTTCAAAATTCTAGTCGTTAAAAGATCGGGTGAGAACAATATTGGAAAGGGTTGTTAAACTGTCTTTTTAAGAAGCAACATACTAAATGATTATGTCAATTTGACAGTTGTAACTAGTTTACTGTTTTTCGTGCGTGTGTGCATGTATAAACACATTGTTTAAAATGTGACTTGCTCCTTTGCAAACTTCTTGAGGATTTGATCATGTAATGAAGAATACTGGAATACCTTGCTGTGTTTTCAGGCCCCAGTGCTGCATGGGGTTGATAGAGAGCAGGGCAGGCACTTGCACATGTAAGATGATGTAACCTCTACTTGGTTCAATGCAATAAGGATCCTGTCCAAAATTCTTTTGCAGATATTCAGAATGCTTTTTTTCTTACATTAAAAGTTTACCAGAATTTTTTGAAAATAATGTAAATATTAGAAAGGCTTATTCCATAAGTTAGATTTATATTTCTTCATAGAATTGAATTCTCCACTTTTTTAATACAGTATATCATTAATAAATATTAAGAACAAATGTGGATGTTGCGTGCTTGTTGTTGCATACTACTTTTACATATAAGGTCATATTTTTTTTATCCATACAGCACATGTGCTGCAGAGGGTCATGGCAGTATCAGGGAATACATAGTATTATGAAAGTATTGGCTTCTTGGCTGTATATGTGCTGAAATGTGATAAAGCTTCTGCATGATCTTCCTCGAGACAGTTTTTGATGTAAATTCCTTCTCTTCCTGGACTGGCAGAAGGTAAGGAGCAATGGAAGATTATCCATCCTTTTTGGATGTAGAAAGGCTCAGTCCTCTGTGCCATATTGAGCAATAAGTGAAGATCCGTATGAATTCATTCTTTGTGGAAGACTACAGGCCAAGAAGACTACAGGCCAAGAAATACAGCTAGTTCAGGCAGTCAGAAATCAGCAGTCTTGTCAGATATGCCTTCAGATGCCTCAGCATAACCACAGGTACAGCACTGGGTGCCTGTTTTTGTAAGGTAGAACCAAGTAACGTCTCTAGAAGCTGTAATAAAAGGAAAAAAGAAATTTCCAGCTGAGGAAATTCAGTATGCATAATGATAGCATTATGAGATAGAACATTTTGTAATTTATTTCCAGGGTATGTGAAAGTAGCAATTCAGAATAGTGGCTTCCAAATAAGATTTGTGAGAGATTCCATAACTAGCATTTATTTGCAAAATAATTAAACATTCTGTTGCCCTTTTCTGTTGTTCCTTTACATCATGTGAGACACACACACACACACAAATATATATGTGTATAAAATATGCACAGAGAATTAATATTAAGTCATACTGCAAGATAGACATAATATATTCCCTCTACTTGGAATTTTTGTAGCACATTTTTTTCAAACCACATCTAGCGAAAAAGAAAAAATGTTTTATTGATGTTTGAAGGTAAGTTTTGGTAGCAGACACACAAATTCATTTGTATGCTTCCATTAAATTTACTGTCAATTTAACAGCTAGCAATGTGTTTGTTTTCTGGTATTCTTTGAAAGCTACATCTTTCAGCCTGGAAAACACATATCTACAAATAATAGTACTAGAAATCTGATGGCGACAAAAGAAATCACTTTAAGCAGTATTTTTCAAGTAATTTTCAAGCAAATTTTTGAGTTCAAAAGATGTGTTAAAGGGATTATATCATTGTAGTATGTGCTTCTTTTATTCTTGGTAGAAAATATTCTTTGATTCAAAAATACTAAGTATTAATAGTAATCTCTTCACAATTGTGTATAGATCCTTGAGCGTACTGGAATGATGACGAGTAGGATTAGAACCCTTTTCCATAGTAGATTGGTGCAACTTCTTGTGGGAACTAAATATCACAACATTAATCATCATCTTGCAAGGATCCAAGATCCGCTCTGTCGTTTGTCTTTTCATCATCTTAGAACTGCTCAGCCTGTTATTGCAGGGGAATAAGGATGGTAGCTGCCTATCTCGGGATTTAAAAGGCAAACCAATGAATGAGGAATAAACAGCTGAGATAAGGAAACTGAAAATCATCTGGTCTTAGACTAGAGGACAGAAATTCATAAAGGATATTCCCTGTTAAAATGCAGGTCAGCAGTCGTTTTATCCTACAATACGTTATCACTTAAATGGACAGTTGGTGAAGAAGAATTAGGCATTTTTCCCAAAGTAATATTGATTATTTTCTCTGTTTGCATTCTGAAGTTTGTCTGAATGGTTGCGTGTCGGTTTTGGTGTGTGGGGCATTTTTTTGTGTATTTTTCCAGTTTTCAGAATTAATTTTACATTATGTCTATTCTCAACCTTCTTTAAAAAATATATATTTTTGTTAACAGTGCTTCAGTCCTGTATATTCTTAACCAAACATAAAAACAGAGCCTGGTCTTATGGCCTTCAACGACATATCCCTGTTGGGATACCTTGGTCTATGATAGTGCTTTCGGAGCAAAGTTCTGTTACATTCTATGTTACTGTGGCACTGTCTTTTCTTTCCCTGAGGCTAGGAGTTGTACTATTTAAGTACCCTGCTTTATTGTACCCTACATCAAGTTACTTCCTCCTGAGAAGGATACCCATACAGTTGCAAGTTTTAATGCAGTGCATCTTATCATGAAGAGATCTAATGACATATTATTTATAGCAGTATATATTTTGATCAAGACATTTTGAAGGCGGGGGGGGATGACACTTTTATAGGCATTAAGGAACACATACATTAAAGCCACAAAATCAAAATAAGGAATAAGGTACTAGGCACATGCCAGGAGCCTTTCTTACTTCACTAAAGTTCATATAACAGGTTTCAACCTGTGTGGATTTTCTTGCAGAATACCTGGAGGAGGAAAAGGACCAGTAAGTTAAAACTCTTCTGATTGTTGTCTTGCCAAGGAATATTTCCATTCTGCTTGTATCAGTTTGCGAGGAAAGATTGTGTTATGCAGTGGTATACTTGGCATTTGCACTTTTGCATAGATGAGCATTGATGCTTACGTAAAACCGTTGACTTTTATCTTACAGTCACTGCTTTCCTGGAATCTAGTTACTTGGATTGTTCAGATCTGTGGAATACCTTAAGATTAAAGACTGCTTTATCGTATCACTTCTTGTATAATTAAAAATGCTGACTGAAGAAATACCTTACTGCTTTTTTTAAAAGGATTTGTACGTATATTCACAATGAGGAAGGTAGCATGTTTCAGCATCTTAAGACTTGGCAACTATTTTTCTGTGACAATCCTTTTGAATTAATCGTCTGTCATGTTTGAGAGTATTGCAAGCGAGGATGTTTAGTAACTTTATTCAATTTCTTCTTTCATTCCCTTTGTCTTCTGACATGTTTTTTGTTTGTTTGTTTTCTGTCCATTTTGTGGTTTCTCTTGAGGTGTTTGGAAGTCAGATGTTTGGAATATTTTGTCCAGTTATGCTCCTGGCTTGAAAGTTTGAAATGTTTCACTGGAAACACATGATCTGTCAATGATAATTTCAATACTGCATGCCCTAAGTGGAGGGCATGTTACTTCATAATAGCTATCACATAAGTGACTATAACAGTTTCTTCCTGAGGGTGGCATCAGTTGTACTAACTTGCCTTTGCAACTGGGGTGTTGCAGACAGCAAACAGCTGGCAAAGGATCAGAGTGGTGCACAACCCCATGAAAGAAGATTGGTGGAGCAAAAGGAAGGAAAAACAAAAGTAGCATTATATATTATCCCAGTAGTTCTGTCATTGCCTCACATTTGAGCTACATTCAGTGGTCATTTGGCATCTACTTAGGCTGGTATTGCTGGAGGTTTCATCACCCAGTTCTGCTGCTTCTCTTTCAGGGTTAGGTGACTTTGCAGAGTTGCAATCTGCTCGCATTTTGTAGGTAAAATTCTACTTCTAGCAAGCTCAGTATTTGTTAGGTTTGAATGCACATAAAGTGATGAACTAATATGCTTAGACTTACTATTTTTATATTTCTCAGCCTGAGATTAATTATATTAGTTGTCTAAATGCATCAGGACCTGAAAGATGCTGCTACCTTCTTCCCTGCTGTTTTTTCATGGAGTCGGTAGTGAGGTCTGCCTGCTTTCAGTCTGGGTAGTGCAAGGGAGAAGAGTACACAACAGGATGAAGATAAAACAGTGGAAAAAAAGTCCAATTGCTTCTTGAAACAAAACAAAACAGCTTGTTAAATAATAGTTTTATGTTTTCTTCTCCTCCCCTCCTAATGTCACTCTTCCCTGTGCATGCTCTCTCCTGTTTCCCAGGTAGCTTTATGCATGAAACACCTTTGAAAATTATTTAAGCAGCGTAACATTTTAGGAAAAACTGTAGAAGCTCTCGCTAACAATCTCCTTGCTGAAGACAGATGGTGTTTTAATACCTGCAGTAGTGAAATGCCAGTATATTAACATCCATTTTCCATAGTCCCAAAATAGCTTGTTTAGTTTGAGAGTGTGCTTATTGAACATTCTCTATGAAAGTCCTAAGAACTCGAGGATGCAGCTTGTGCTACTGTGAACAGCAGTACTCAACTAGTAATGCAAAATTCAGCGTGGGCTAGCTGGCTGAGAAAGCCAACAGGCTTCTAAAATTTAAAGCAGTGAAAACTGGCTCTATCCTGGAAGTTACAGGCGTTCTACTGCAATGTAGCACGGTAATATATGGCTTTCCATTGAAATTGCAGAGTGAAAATACTGTTCAGATCGTTAGGACATAAATTCTTGAGGGCTTGGTCATGCTGCTGAGTTACTTGTTGCTTAAACTTTTGTGCATTCAGCGCAGTAGCTGAGTGCCTGTCATTTTATTTCCTTGGAAACAGATAAAATGCATTAACCTAAAACCCCAGTGAAAGCTTATTTTTAAGCCCATAAAAGCTGGATTGCCTTTTCTTAATACAGAGCAGCTATTTAGGATGGTTTAGGATACTTAATTAGATACTGGTAAGTACTTAATTGTAGTGATGCAGTTTTTTGTCCATGCCCTGGATA